GCGGGTTCTCTAGCGACTGAAACCGTTCTGGCAGGCATGGCGCGAGTGGTGCATCGCTCTAGGTGCTTCCCTATTTCCAACCTCTTCCGCCTCTCTTCATTTTTAATGCGCCTGTGCGCCCCTGTTTTTTGCGTCCCATAGTTTCCCCGCTGCTTCACGTACACGCAAACACCCCCATATTTTGAAGGAGCGCCACGCGCGACCGTCTGCCCTTGTCAGTAGTGTCCCATTTCGGCGCGTGAATCAACCTTGGTCTTTTGCTGCTCNACGTGATCTGTTGATCTTCTATCGTGGCAAGCGCGTGTGACACGATATGTGCGTTCATGTCGGAAGCTTTCTGCATTTCCACAGAGTAAAAATGTTCGTGAGTAAACGAAATTCGACTTGATTGTTGCCGAGGGAAAGAAAGGGATAGCTGGACCCTTCTCGCGATAAAAATTACTCAGCACGCACCGCAGGAGGAAGGTGGGGCATTAAATCAAATGTAAAGAAGAAAAAACCCCAGTGTTTACCCCCTCCTGTGTAACCCCGGTTGGTGCTAGTTGTACAGAAAAATGCACTGAAAAGTGTAGCACCCTAGATACACAGCAATATGTAGTACACGTCCACCTTGCACGGGGGGGACTGTCGCCAAAATAAATGGGACGAAAACACACACACATACAGAGTCGTGACATGTCAGTACCTATACTTAAGACCCATTTCTGTTTGCACCGCCCGTTCACACATCAGTTTTATCAGCGGCAGTTACGAGTTGGTGTTGTGCGCACCGAAACCGCCTGTGAAGTTTGTGTTACACACATATCCCCACAATCAGCAATACTAACGCTGGATGGAACTATCTGCGTGCGCCATCACCGTGTAGACACGTTTCAACGCCATGAATTCCGCTTTACCCTAAGCTTAACCAGGGCAATTGAAATCTGTGCACGTAACGTACTTGACAGCAGTCTCGTGATGTGCGTGCAATTGCTGTACCCACGGAACCTCCCAAGGGGACTAGTACGCCTACCCCAGGAAGCGAGGAACAAGAGAGACAATAACCACGTGTAGCGTCCGTTTTGCATGCTCCTCGCCTCTCTTGATACTGTCGTACAGCCTGTTTTTAGGCCAATATTTCCTGTGCTTTGCCACACATTCCCGTACACGTGTATTTTTATGACTGACCTCCGCCTCTCTTCTCTTGTGGTATTTATTTTGGTGTCCCAGCATGCATGCGCCACGAAGAGCGCCCGTCCTCGCTCGGGTGCTGTGTCTGATCGGACGGCTGGATCTAGTGCAAACGGTGAGGCAAATCTCTGCTTGTTGAGCAGAGAAAGCAGAAAACTAACGACTCCGACGGAGACGCAAGTTCCGCGTTTCATCATCACGCTTGTACCGTGGTTTTTCGGGCTGTCTTGGCTGCTGTTTGGCGTTCTCAGGCTTTCGCAGAGAGCGACAAGAGATGTCTTGGTTTGTTCACGAGGCTGATTTTTCGCATGCGGGGCCGTAGGGAAACACATTTTTTCTTGGACGTAGCTCAAAACGTGAAGGTGTTCCGAACCAGCTTGTCCTCCTCATGAACCCTGAAAACATGCCCCGCACACGGTCCTCCCACATTCTCCTTTCCTGGCAGCTAAAGCGACCAAAAAGAATCGAGCACCTGCTTCACCTCACTCTCCCGCTTAATATGAACTGGGTAAATAGAACGTGGCGACAGATGTTAGGAGCCGTTGAGCGGAAGTTGAGTGCCAAATGTGTGGCGTGTGGCCGAACAAAATATCATCACGTGTCTGAGATGGGCGGGCCGGGCGGCTGGGGACAGCGGACGAATAGCCGCCGGCAATGCGACGGGATCGGGTAGCCGCTAGTGATGCGAAGGATTGGATGTTAAGACAGGCACCGCCGTCCGCCCTCGCGCCAAACAGGGCACAACCTGGTGAGAAATTGAATTGAATATCGGCTTTTCTGTGAAAAAGCTTCTTTTCTGTGGCAGCACCTCGGGGAAGGAAGTCTATCACCCCCTCCACACGTACACACAGCTAAGGACAAAACTAGAGACACGTGGGCAGACATAATTGTGCGCACACCGCCCTATTTTCGGATCTCCGCAAACTAACGGAATGATCGCGCTGTAACCGAACCTAGTGGTACGGCGCCTTTGTAGCTGTGACGCTGCGTTCATTTCTCTAGACAGCTGGATTGTGTCTCACGACAAGATCGGTAGCTGCTCAGTCTCGAAACCCTTTCACTTGTGTGGTTCGTTTTGTCGGGTTTGCGGGCCAGAGATGTGCCGCTGCTTCTGCTGGTGCTGCTTGTTGCTCCTGATGCTCTCTCTACTCCCCATTCCACAACGCAACAGCGCAACACAGATGCCCTCCCGCCTACATACTTTGCGCTTTTTGAACTTGTGTGTGGCCGTGTTCCTACACAGAAAAATCCAGGCCGTTCTCTCCGGCACCTGCCACGGCTGACGGTGTATGAAATCCGTGTGCATGTGTGATCTGACTGTCAGGAGGTCTCCTGAGCTTCCTCCTCCCACGGTATTCCACACCATGTGGAGATTCTGTAGGCATGTAAATACAACCCTTACAACAGCAGAGCGCGACAAGCATCGGCGGTGGTTGAAGTCATGGCCCAGACAGAGCTTGAGAAAACTACTATGACAAGGATTCCGGAGAATCGTGACGGGTGCCTCGTTCGTATTTGTCTTTACTTCTTTTTCGCAAACAAAGTGGTACACACGCGCGACCTCGGCGATTTTCAGAGGTGCCTTAGTGCGTCTAGGCAGCGGCATTGGACCGCCTGCGCCTCCGACTGTAGAGACATTGCCGTATCCCTCATCGTACCAAGCCAGTCAGCACAGCTCAAAAGACAAGCAAATACTCCGGAGTAAAAAATATTCAAACCTTCCAGTGGTTCCACTCGCTGGCTGCCAAATACTCCCAACGTTGCAGCTACCGCACCAGCACACGATTGATGCATCCTCTCCATTCCACTGTTTTCCATTTATCACAATAAATATCCAGGGGGGCACATGCCGTTTACTTTTCAACGTCGTAAAAATACATGGCACCGTACGCAAGATGAACCAGGTTAATACGAGTGGGAGAGAACAAAGTCCAAAGGGCTGTCATGATATTTTTACGGTTCTCGCAACGAATCAACAAGAGCAGTCGTTTGCAGTAGGATGAACCAGTGGTTGGTGTCCCGGGTAGAGAATGTAGCATGGTTGCTTGTTGTGTGCTACATCAGATTTTGTACGAACTGCCCATTCGATTGAGTTTCACGTGTTGTGGAGACTGCCATTTACATAGCTGCCGAATAAGCAAAAAAACATCGCCGCACGCTTATCATATAGTCTCCGGATATTTTGTCGCGAAGGTTCATGTAGAAGCGTACAATCTCTCAAGGCATGTAAATTTCTGGTCTGCCTCCTTTCCTCAAACCATTGCTGTACCAGGCGTGCACTCGGCTGCCGGTTTCGAGTGGAATCGGAAGAGCAACAGTGGTGAGGACACGCTTTGACAGCTGCCGCTCGCTTCAGTTCTGCCGGTGGAACCACGCAGAGAGGAAGATTTGAGAGGAAGCAGAACCTGCAGGGAACCAATATTGTTATTCCAGCAGCAAGACTAAGTGGTGCAGGGTATTTGGGTGATGTTCCGGAAGAACGAACAACCTTTTCGCTGTTGCTACGACTTGACCCCGCATCGTCAACCGATCATATGTTTCAATCGCCGCCCCGCTCCCCTCCTCCTCTTCTTGTGGTCAGAACGGCAGGACTCAGGTCTCCAGACAACCGCGACATGTCGGAGCTAGTGCTCGGCGCCAGTGGTTCAACTCTGTCGCGGCGCATTTGGCGCTAGTTGACTGGTCTCCTGGTTAGCGGCGGCAACGGGACGTGCGTGCCCCCGCCATGTTTTCCCGGGGTATGTTGTTCACAGGACATGCTGCACATTTTTTTCGGAAAATTCTGTAGGCTGTGGCTAGGCTCTGTAGAGCCGGGGATAAAGTAGGTCAGGCGTGAATGCGACACGTTCACGGAAACAATCAAAAATATTGCAGTCTCCTTGTCATCCAGAGAGTGCCGAAGGTGGATAGTGTAGCCATCGCTCGACCTGGTGCCCCATTCCTCGTCGATTTCCTGCACGATACTGCCCTTGGGATGTTGTCGCGGCGCTTTACACGGTTGTCGTCACCTATGCCAATTTCGCAACCGATGTGGTTTTGAGAGTGATACGCCACGTAGCTGATGCTCAGTTCGACAAAAACAGTTTTGACTCTCTTGTACTGTCGCCCCCCCTCGCTCGTTGTTGTTTTTTGTCTGTTTCGGCATGTTCGTGCCTGGTTGAACTCGGGCAGGGTGTGGGGACTGTTCGAAGCGTAACGATCGACTACCTCGCTCCCGTCCAATGGTGGCGGGTGCAATCCGCGATGCCACAGCCAGCAAGCGCCTTCCTGATCAAGCCCTACCTATACGTTGGCAGAGGCGGCGAGTCAGGGAGCGATGGCTACGGCCTGCGTGCCGAGACTGGCTGACTCCGATCGGCAGTGCCCCTTATTCAGAGAGCAGAGCGTCTCGTCGGAGCGGTAGAATGACAGAAGTAGCGCGGGAGACCACTTTCGATTTTCTCGTTGTTGATGGGTTTATACACTTTGCATAACCGGGGGAGACATGAAGGAATGGAATGAGTGAGAATGAGGAAAGCATCGCATTCAGGGGGCGGTGTTTCGACTGCTTGGCAGGCCTGGCAACAGTGGAGCAAGGTCGTCGGGTACAAATTCTGGAATAAGGAAGCTCGGGGGTTGGGTGGGGCTCTCGAGATCAGTACGTCGTGCAGTGTACAAGATGGGAATTCCGAATGCTGAAAAGAAGCAAGTTTTGGGGGGAGACACGAGTAGCAGAATGGAAGACAGAGATCGGGTGATAGGTATAGTTGTCCCCAAACATAAGCGATGGCATCTGTGGGCTTGCCGGTGGGGTTTTCCGAAAAAATGACGCAATCCCGCGTGAAGGCGCCGTTGCAGATGCAGCCGGCGCCGTCTGAGCCTTGTATTCCCAGGAGGGTTGTCCACCTCCATATGGTCTGGGGGTGTCTGCATACCTGCCAGCGGCGTATGACTAAATGCTGTCTGTGTGGTAGAAACCACAGGCTCTGTCTTTCGGGGGTGCGGTATTGGCCGCGGCGAAATTGAATTTCCAGGGGGTGTGGTATCTTCTGTCACCGTGTGATAAATGGGTGCTTTGCTTCGTCCCCCCAAAAAGTATCACAGGGTGTGGTATGTATCTAATAGGGGGTGTCGTATCTTCTGTACGTGTGTTATCTTCTGTCACCTACGGTATTTCCCTACTATTCGTTTCTCTTTTTTATCGCATGGAGAAAGCTCACGCTGAGCATAAATACTCCAGTCACCCCCGACGACAGCTACAAACATCACCAATACCAACGAAATAACTCAGCGAACCGAACACATCGACGTAAAATACCACCACGTGAGGTCGCTGATCGTCGACAAGGTAGGTGGTGAAAGTGAAGAAGATTGACACTGACTTTCAGAAGCAGACATGCTAACCAAGGACCTGGGAACGGTGAAGTTTGTCAGGAACCGTCGTCTGCTTCTAGGAGAGTAGTAGTCACCTCCCCTCTTCGCTATCAGACTCGAAGTCTTGAGGGTTGGATGGTGAATTAAATCGGGAGATCTGGGTTGAAGGAAACTCGGGAGATCTGTGTAGGAGGAAAGTCCTCGCTGCTTGTACTGATGGAAGTTAGTGAATATTTTGTGTTTGAGTTGAGAGATCGCATGTACTTGTGAGTTGTGTTTTCGAGAAGTCATTGTTTTGAGAGGACATCGAGAGAAGATTCGTGGCTTATGTATCAGAATGACGTACGTTCTTGAGAGGACATGTTGGGGTGTTTGCTGTGTAAGACCGACTCTATTCTGCCGTTTGTGTTTGGTACAGTATTGTGAAGGCGTTCTGTTACTGTAACCGTCAGGTGCAGACAGTCCAGGCGTCTGTGACTGGATAATAAGATCACTCGTGTGTTTTCTCTACCCAAGCCTTAGCCACATACGCCAGCCACAGCGTGCTACAGCAGTGGTACCGCCTGTCAGATCTCACTCTCCACCCTGGCTTCCTGCTCTCTCTCTCTGGTCTCTCTTCGTTGTTACGCACCACGCGGGTGTGTGACAACCGACAATACACGAATAGTCTAAAACTTATTGGGCCATTCGACTGCTGTGTGCAAGTCGACGTGTACAGACGCGGTTGTACTAACAGATATTTTGAGTTCAACCAATCAACTTTCTAGGGCGTTTCGTCAGTGTTTACACGAAACATGCGACTTGAAAGGCACGTGACCATCGCTCACAACTGATCATCGCCTTCTTCAAACGCCAAAACAAACTGAACGTCAAGAAAACCAGAATCAACAGCAGTATGAACAACGCCATGGACACCAAGATCGACGTCGACCAAGAATCGAACAAGCAGGCCTCGATCGCGGGTGTTGATGACATGCCAACCGGATTTAGGTTTCTGTCCCGTCGAGATCGCAAGTAGTTCGCCAAAAGAAGTGGTCGAGCAGTGCCTTAAACGTAAGCGCCAGGAAATCGAAGAAAAGGAGATCTCGCTCAAGCGCAAGCGTTGCGGTCACGTCATAGACTGTTTGTTACAAGCGGACGACCGAATTCGGCTTTCTTCGAGCTCAATTCGCGCACAGTATTTCAAACTTTGAATACTGGCCGTCCTCACCCAAGTAGACGAAGGTATCGAGGGCGAGGTGATTTCAATTTGCCTGCGGATCGACAAGCTACTGGCGTTCCACGGAAAATGCCAAGGAGGTTATGTACGCGACGAGGGGAGACGACAACGTCGCCAAGGTCCTCTCGGAAAATGCATGCACCTGGCACACACAGCACAGATCAACGGAGGGACGATATCATCATTCTGTAACCGGAAAGAAGCCGTGAACGGACGAGTTCGAAGCCGTGTACGCGCTGATTCGGGAATCCGGAGATGTAGATAGAGGTGTCTTTGCTTTGTCGCCACGGACATGTTTTGTTGGACCCGCCCGCGTGTGGAGCTCGTCGCCGCGTGAAAAGGAACAACAGGCGAAGAAGGCCAGAGCCAGCCATGGCTCAAGAGGACGACCACCACGGCCCGGGGGAACGGGGCGGATATGCAAATGTGGCCGCAAGACCGCGCGTAATAACGATTTCAAGGTGTACACAGATTGTTGCCCCATGGTAACGTGTGGTGAGCGGCAATGGCGGGAACGATACGTTGGATGAAGAAAGCGTGTGGCAATCAAGTCGTTGAAATGAAACGAACTAAGCCAGGTCGGCAGTCACGGTGCAAAGCTGGCCCCTTTCGAGGATGGTCTTAATTAATCTAAACACGTTCAACAATCATGGCATCAAGCCTGGCTTCTTCAGCTCTGAGGACAGAAAGGCGACTGCACGCTTTCGTGAAGACAATCGATCAGCTCGTTTTTCTTTAAAAGACCTGTTCACACGAAGCCGTGTCCCTGCTTCACCGTCATGAACAGTACCCGTGTCATCGTCCAGATATTGCACCTCTTCGAACGTGACCCTTATCGCGTGCACATCACACGCACTGACTTACTTAACAGCCGATCATCCTAATTGAGAGCGGATCCACAATTGAGTTTACTGGAATACAGAGGGGCGTTTTACTGATCCTTCGTGCTTATTTCTTCGACGGCTCGGTCAGATGTGCGTTGGTAGTTCGTTCTCCCAAAGGCGGGATGTTGTTGTCTGGTGCATTTGGTGAAGGTACTGGGGCATAAGCCGGATGGGAGGGGACACGCAATCGGGACTTGTGAAGCATGATCGTTTTCCGTAACGGATCCCTTCAATGACGTGACTACGAGTCACTCACGTAATATTACACGACACACGTCAGTGCATTGACCGTCCGCGCTTCCAGAGAGAGCGGCGCGCCCTCCACGCTTGAAAGTGATGTTCAAATTGTGACGTGAAAGCTTGTGAACATACGTCAGAAAGGAGCGTGAATGCACCCATAGGGCGCGTTTGCTGGCTAGTACATGCCACGCGACGGTGTTGAGACTCTTGGGGGAGCTTCCCACGATCATTGGTTTGGGGAGAAATCCGGCTGATTTTCGTTCTCAACTGTGGATCCGTTCTCAACTAGGATGATCGGCTGTTCCTGGTGCTCAGATCGTGGGGCGCATGCAGGAGGCGGGAAGGCTGAAGGTCGCGGATGGCCGCGTGCGTGAGGTCACGGAGAGGACGGTGCGAGTTCGTATCGCCTTGCACACCAACTGGGGGTTGGTGTCGCTGGACCCGTTCCCGTTTGCTGTCATGCCGGGTGACGATGATGTCGTTATCCTTGGCAGCCCTACCCTCGAGGCTTTGGGCATCGACGTCTACGAGAGTCTTGGGGCTCGGGCGCGTGCCCAAGCCAATATCACCGGTAACAGCGGATTATCCTCATTGAGAACGGATTTATGATGGAGAACGACTATCTTCCGGACGACACAACCCAAGGCAATGCACCAAAGCTCTCCCAAGAGCCTTTCAACACTCACGATGCACATAACAAAAGCCTAACTTGCCCTTTGCAGTTCCGCGGGGTGGCAAATTTGTACGCGTTAGTCACCCACTGGCAGTGCAGATCTTGCCGTGACGAAGGAGATACCGTCAGGGGGTTCCGTGGCGACGCGAGATTTGGGGGGTACTCGGGTATAAAATAATGCGTTGCTCCCTGGTGTGGCTTGACTAGGGGTTGGTGGCTGTGCCGAAGGCACTGGTTGTGCCGTTTTCTCTGACTTTTATTCAACCTTAACGGCAGCAAAAGATTATTCCAAAGAGGTTTCTGCCTGTCATGCTGACACCCAAAAACCCTAAGCACGGCACTGTGGTGATTTTGAGTTTCTCGAAATCAAAACGACCATTTTATGTTGACGAAAGCAACAAAATGTTCGCAAATGCAAACGAAATGTTCATCATTGTACCGCTAAGGTGTCAGGCGTCATCGTATCACTGCCTTTTAAGTGTCACAAATAGACAATGACGAGAGTATGAAATTTCTCCAACTCCGTTCAATAATAACGGTACCTACGAAGAGCACCAAAAAGCAGTGGAAAAGAGTATTTCCTGACACCTTAGCGGTACAATGATGAACATTTCGTTGCACTTGCAAACATGTTAATGTTTTCTTCAAAATGTAATGGTCGTTTTGATTTCGAGAAACTCAAAATCGCCACAGTGCCGTGCTTAGGGTTTTTGGGTGTCAGCATGACAGGCAGAAACCTCTTTGGAATAATCTTTGCTGCCGTTAAGGTTAAATAAAAGTCAGAGAAAAAGGCACAACCAGTGCCTTCGGCACAGCCACCAACCCCTAGTCAAGCCACACCAGGGAGCATCGCAGTATTTGATACTCGAGTACCCTCCAAATCTCGCGTCGCCACGGAACCCCCTGACGGTATCTCCTTCGTCACGGCAAGATCCGCACTGCCAGTAGGTGACTAACGCGTACAAGTTTGCCACTCCGCGGCACTGCAAAGGGCAAGTTAGGCTTTTGTTATGTGCATCGTGAGTAATGTAAGGCTCTTTGGAGAGCATAGGTGCATTGCCTTGGGTTGTGTCGTCCGGAAGATATTCGTTCTCAATCATAAATCCGTTCTCAATGAGGATAATCCGCTGTTACTTGGCTAACTCAACACATTTGCACTTACTTGTCGACATTAATCCGTTCTCAATGAGGATAATCCGCTGTTACTTGGCTAACTCAACACATTTGCACTTACTTGTCGACATCGGCTGTGTATGCGAAGAGGTCTGGACGCTTGGTCAAAAGAGGGTAGAATAACTGGCAAGCGAAGATCTGCCCGAGCCCGTGCTTCTACTCGCTGCAATGCTTCACTTCGATCACCTCGGTACTGCTGAGTAGTACATCGATTTTTTCCGAAGGTGTTCTTGCTTGTTTTCCTCCGTGAACAGCAAAGGCAAGAGTGACACATACGAGAGAC